GCGTCAGCTTGATTGCAGTGTATATTAATATTAGGAGTTCCCAGAGCTATATAATCAGTTTTGGCCTCGTACTACAGAAAATCACACACTGTGGGGATAACTACAATGAATACTGGTCTAACAATAAATCCTTTAAGTTTTCATAAAACTTAATGATGTATTTTAATCTTGATTACAGAAAATAATTGCAAGCTGTTTGGCGCTGTGAGAATGGTTTGGTTTTACAAACTTCATGTCGGGGTTTTAATCCTTCGCTGTGCATTTTCCTTGAACAGCACTGTTATTATTGCACGACAATAAGCATTTAACGACAAGACAGGATCTTTGAAAAAGTACTTTATTTATAAATAAATCATGGTACATAAAGATAAACGCCAATCCGCCTTGTTGCGATAATGCTTTAATAATAAATTTTTAACTTGAAGAGGAATCTTCGAGTGTGAAAAAGGTTTCCACAAACCGGGATTCGAACCCGGGACTTTCTGCTGTGTATGCAGACGCCTTAACCAACTGGACAATTGGGCCGTAGTTGGGAAATCAAATCTGATTATGACACTAATTTTCACACTTATACCCATGCGTAGTTGGACAGCTCTAGTCATTGATGCATGGCAAATAACAGATATGGCCGGCATCTATAGGGCCAAGCATAGAGTTGATTACGCCTAGCCTTAGCCACAATTATGCTAAGGCCTTTCCACATATTTTTGGTTTGGGTTTGGTGATCAAGCCTAATATGTTGTACACTTCATGCACTAATACTGAGATCATTAAATGATATAATTAAAATCTAATTGATTAGTTAAAAATAAATTTAATAATGAATTTACTTATGAACGTCTTATCTTGCTGTAGGTTAACGATACCATGACTATGACATTGAGTATTTGGACGTCATCAACGTCGCATAATCTTAGCATTACTCATTTAAAGAAGTTGTCTGCCGGATGTCAATAGGTAGGGTATTCCTGAGAGAAATTAAAGTTTATATATAGGCATATGTATGTATACCTATGTATGTGTGCATGTGTATACAGTAACTGTATATTTTTAAAGTGAAAAGTCGTCCAAATCAGAATTTAAATTCGAGTTGCCTTTAAAAAAAAATATTTTACTTATTTATTCAAATTTTCTTACTATATATATATATATATATATATATATATATAGGGGTTCATTGATTCATGGAAGCGTTTTTAAGAGTAGAAAACCTTGAATTTTGAAGAACTTAAGAGTCATAAAAAGACACTTCAAAAGTCATCCGCCATCTAGGAATCAAAATTTTCCCGGAAGAGAACCCAAAACCCCCTCCTCCCTTTCTCTTTGGAGTTTATCGATTCATGGGAAAAAGAAAACGTATGCAACTACTCATTTGTTTTTTATGTTTGTATAGACACATATTTCTGTAATAAGAATAAAATAAAGTTTGCCTAACCGTTTTCAAGAGGTGGAAAACCTTGAATTTTGTCATTAAAAGACACCTAGCTCAAAGTCGGGAAAGCTCATTTCCCGTCATCTAAGAATCAAAATTTTCCCGGGGAGAACCCCCAACCCCCTTCCTTTCTGGGGTTCTTGTGAAAAATTGTGTCCCCCTCCCCTCGAAATTTGAACCCATTCATATCCCCATTTGTCGATGAGCGGTGAGCCGTGGGGGGGGGGGATTTAGTCTTTATTTGAAAATGGCTATATATAGATAAATGATATGACTCTTATTGAGTTGAACCATACGCCTATTTATCGGTGACAGTACTAAGTAGGCCTACGGTATTGTACTTTTTAATGTTCTAATTACCCAGTACATCGTTCGGTGATGGTGACGTAATGCCATTTACCGTACCTTAATTGAAGTAGAAATACGGTACCGTATCTCTAGCCACGGCGAACAAAAACAAAAAAACAGGGAGATGAGTGACCCAATACAGTCGATTAGCTTTACACATAATACGTGCACCTTTACCGCTCAACTACATTTCGACTGACAAACATGTATACTGTTACTAATTAGTAATATTGCACCCCTACAGTACAAAAACAAGTAATAAAAAATTATAAAAATTGAATGAACGAATGAACGAACTACTTTTTAATCTGTCTGCTGTATGGACGTGTGTTTGTGTGCTTATAGGCCTACAGGGTTTTGCCGAAGATGTGTAACAAAACATACTGGCATTAATTTCACACCGATCGTTGGTGAAAAACAGTTTGGTCGAGTGGTTAAAAGAATGTTTTCCACGCTATTGATCGAATCCCATGATGTCTTTTATTTATTTTGTTTTCATTATCTTTTATTTAATTGTCCGTACTAAGCTTAACATCTTACTACCGGTCAAGCTATTTTGATATCAGCACGTGACTGCACTGAATACATTTTGTCCCCTTTGGGAACAGTATGAGTTTGGAATTTATACAGAGGAGATTTATGATGTGGGCGGAGGTACACTCTCAGAGTGCCCTCTAGTTTTGAATTGTATTTGATAATTAAAGCCTATTCACAACTTTAATAAAGATATCCCCCTTAAATAAAAGGGGAATTTTTAAGATCTTACCGCAGACTGGCTTACAATGATCGATTATTTACATTGTGGATAATAATATAGGCCCTACTTATGTTTTTATTGTTTACATCTATATATAGCATATAGTTAAAACCCACAGTGACTGGCAGTACTACATTTTGATGCTTGTGAAAACTGATTGAGATGTATTGAAAGCTGAAAACGTAGGCCCATTCGCTGTTATCAAACGTTGTAATTACAAAATTTGGGTGAATTTTTTTTATGTCATTACGTTTTTGAATGATGATTTACATTCTTAAATAAATAATAAAGCTTTCTGTCAACACTTACAAAATTCTGCTGATTCGCGTCAACGGTCGGATAGTACAGGGCTAGGATTGTCATTATTGTGTGTTTGGCTATTGGAGGGGGTAGAAAATAGACCAATGGTGTATGGGCCCACCTACAATCGCCTACGAGGTCAAGGGTCAGCGTCAGCTTGATTGTAGTATATATTAATATTAGGAGTTCCCAGAGCTATATAATCAGTTTTGGCCTCGTACTACAGAAAATCACACACTGTGGGGATAACTACAATGAATACTGGTCTAACAATAAATCCTTTAAGTTTTCATAAAACTTAATGATGTATTTTAATCTTGATTACAGAAAATAATTGCAATCTGGTTGGCGTTGTGAGAATGGTTTGGTTTTACAAACTTCAGGTCGGGGTTTTAATCCTTCGCTGTGCATTTCGCTTGAACAGCACTGTTCTTATTGCACGACAATAAGCATTTAACGACAAGACAGGATCTTTGAAAAAGTACTTTATAAATAAATCATGGTACATAAAGATAAACGCGATAATGCTTTAATAATAATTTTTTAACTTGAAGAGGAATCTTCGAGTGTGAAAAAGGTTTTCACAAACCGGGATTCGAACTCGGGAATTTCTGCTGTCTATGCAGACGCCTTAACCAACTGGACAATTGGGGCTTAGTTGGGAATTCAAATCTGATTATGGCACTAATTTTTCACGTCTGTCTGCCGGATGTCAATAGGTAGGGTATTCCTGAGAGAAATTAAAGTTTATATATAGGCATATGTATGTATATTTATGTATGTGTGCATGTGTATACAGTAAGTGAAAAATCGTCCAAATCAGAATTTAAATCCGGGTTGCCTTTAAAAAAAAGTATTTTACTTATTTATTCAAATTTTCTTGGCTAAAAAAAAAAAACAAAACAATAGAAAATGAACCTAGTCATTTTTGTAGGAGTCTAATGCAATTTTTCCAATTATAAGTCACTAGCAATATTTGGTAATTTTCAAACTAATGACCCTTGTGACTTTTGCCTATAGGTGAAGAGTACTTTTTTTCATGTTTAAAAGGTCCCCTATGATGACCCCTATGTAACCCCTGATCCCCGACTGGGGTGTAGGGGTGTAGGGGTGTAGGGGTGACCCCTGATCCCAGACTGGGGTGTAGGAGGTGTCGCCGGTACTTAATGACGAAATTTGACTGAATTTGGTCCAATGGTTTGCCATTAGTAGCATTTTGAAATGTTACTAGAGAGAACAAAAGAATAACCCTTTAATGACCTTTAACCGTAAATCGCTGATCACCATAAGACCCTACATCATGCCAATACACATGTGCCCAGGACAAGACTGTGCTATGATATTTGTGACAGAAGTCTTTTATTCATTTTTTTGAAAGTTTTTTACCCCAATGACCCCTATGTGACCTTTGACCCCAAGCAGTGAACACCCCATGTATGAAAGGTGTCACCGATTATACTGACCAGGTTTGGTTGAAATTGGCACAACCGTTTGGCACTAGTAGCGTTTTGAAATGTTGCCAGAAAAAGATAAAAATTACCCCTTAATGACCTTTGATCCCTTATCCCTGAACACCCTATAGACCCTGCCTTATGCCAATGTATATGTGCAAAGGACAAGACTGTGCTACGTTATTTGTGAGACAAGTAGTCTTTTATACGATTTTTTTTTTTTTTTACCCTAATGCCCCTTATGTGATCTTTGACCACAAGCTGTGAACAACACATAAATGGGAGGTGGCACCGGTCCTACTGACCAAGTTTTAATTAAATCGGTCCAGTAGTTTGCCACTAGTAGCCTTTTAAAATGTTGCCAGAAAGAAAGAAAGAAACTGCTAGGAAAAAGAACCCAGTCAGCATGCTGCTGACTGGGTAAAGAAACAAAGAAGTATCTACATAGAAACAGAACCCAGTCAGCCTGCTGACTGTGTTCTTCTATATCCTACTAGGCCACTTGGACGTAATGGATTGCAATTAATATTTGATTTAGTTGGCATTAAATGTTAGGTGTTTTGTGTATCGAATTACTGTGATTGTATAGCGGAAACCCATCTATTATTCCAATGACATATTGTAGTATTAGTGATTTACAATCCAGGAAGTATCACGAAAATATTATCTGATTGGTCGAAAGTAGACCACCAACAAGTGGCGGTGACGGGGGCGGTGACCTACCGTGCTGTGTACTGTCATAACATCGGTCTCGTCTATAAAACTGCGCCATTCAGATCTGTTTATTAGTGAATGATATTAGCCGCTATTCTGCGCTACATGTCGGTGAGTTTATATATCATTTCTCTCATTATCAATTACAACAGAATGTTACAGTTGTTGTGTAGGTCAGTTAGTCTTTTTCTGTCTGCCATTAAGTAAATAAATTGTAATATATAATTAAATATTTGGATTGCTTAATTTGTATATTTATTAGGCCCATTTACAACTAAAAACTTTAATGAAAAAAATCTCATTACTTAACAGACAGTTAAATAATCCTTCTCGGGAATGCTTTTTTTCATAGACCCTTAATGTGGCTGGTGATTAATTTAAGACTTTTTGAAGGAAATGTCTGTAAATGAAGAAAAAAATATTTTTACGATTTGTTTCTGGTCGGAAATTATTTTATCTATTTAAATGAGCTATTCAAAGATAATTTTTTTTTACACACAGTATATATTTAACAGCAGGAAATCGAGCAGCATGATTCTATGATCAAATGTTATATGTATTTAATTGTAGACGCTTTCGTTTTCAATGTCAGCCCCACTATTGAATATTTGATAGAGCTTAATACTCTAGGCTATTGATATATTTTCTCTGTACTCATTGGCGGATCAGTGCTCCCGAGTGGCCAAAGTATGTACAATGCAGTGCAGCCAGTGCAAAGCACTGGGGCCCGGGGCTATTAGGAGCCCGTTCAATTGACCTTAATAGATCTAAAACTTTAACAAAAATCCTATTTAAATTTTAAAAGGATAATTTAATAATAATAATAATATAGGTTTGAATGTTCATTACATTAGGTAAGTTGTAGTTAACATAATTATTAATTATGTTAATTACAATTTACCTATGACGTGTCATTAATTTATGATTATTATCAATATATTACGGTATTCTGCTAATCGCCACCGTGTAACTTCACCTAACTCCTCTGAAACCGATGGCAGGAATGTGTTCATATCTCACACACTGGGGCTCCAATATGTCACGACCACATTCCGCTACTTTTCAAGACTGGATATTGGATAATAACAACGAAAAAAATCAGCTAAAAACCACCGAAAATCAATGCCTGTTTCGCCATGTTTCGCAAGTTGCTTACGTCACGTAAATTCAATTAAGCCTGGTTCTCACAAGAGCCCTAGTATCCGGATCGGGAGCTAACAGTTAACGCTAACGGTTAGCGCTAACCGATCGGGCGTTCTCACACAGGAGCTAACGGTTAGCGCTAACCGTTAGGGGAATCCGGATACCGCTAACGGTTAGCAAGCCCTATCGGTTAGCACGTTGAGCGCGTTTCTATCATAATCCAATCACACGTGCGCGTTTACAATTTCGAGTTTCTTATTGGCCAGTGATTTGATCATCATATTCTTGGTATCCGGATCGGGATCTTGGTCGTGGACGCACGGGAGCTAACGGTTAGCAGGATCCGGATCCTGCTAACCGTTAGCAGCTGTGTGAAAACATAGCTGCATAGTTACCGCGATACACACTGCGTAATCAAGGCTGCTTCGGATTGTGGCAGTATGGGTTTTTCGTAAAAAAAATGTTTTAATCCAGTTTTTGGATTCTGTTAGCCTACAATTATTTTTTTAACTTCAAAAATGTGGGTAAATATTATAATTTTTATTTTCTGAAATTTAATATAAATTATATTAACGCAAATGTTGTTGCTAAACTGACCAATCAGCCATTTTTTTGGTCACGTGGATTAACGCATTCCGGTTTCGTTAATTTATATTGTCAACGAAGTCTAGGCTATTATCCGAACCAGTCAAATGAAAATAATACTCAACAAAAATTCGTACTCAACGAAATGAGTTGTTTCAAAAAGGAATACACGTGACACAACTGGTTAGCTAACAATATGCAAATGTTACATAAACACCTGGGAAAGAAGGTGCAATCACGTTCTGTTGCCTAGCAAACGTCTGTATGGGGGCGGGGACGATGGCGCTAGCCTACTGATTTACTGTGTAGCGGGGGAGGATGAGGCAGATTAAGACTAGGCCTTGGCCTAAGTAGACAGTGCAATTATATGTGATAGAAAGTACGCTTTCGAAAGAAATAAATTAAAATAAGAAAAAAAATAACTAAGAATTCATTTGCAGGCGTACCTTGTTTAAGTATTATATAATGCTAACAATGTGGCTCTTGTAGCCCTGGCAAGGCAAGGCATCCATGTGCAAAGCAGTGGTGTTTGTTTATCAATCAAAAAAGCACGCCGGGAAAGTTTGCCTTACCAGCAAAAGGTGACGTAATCTAGCTTATGACGTATGCATGCTAACTACTGTATATTGAGAGTGACGTCACCAAAAAAATAAAAATTTTCTATTATGACCAAAATAATAATAACTACAAGGTTTGTGGGCGTAAATTCCCTTAATAGGAATTAAGGGTAGCAGAATCTCCTTGCCATACAAATTACAGCTCCCACTGACGTCTCAGTCGAGAAATACGGGTAGCTGAAGTTTTCTCGCAAATCTGACTACGAAACGATATCGAAATCTCACGTTCCATTATTGACTCTGAGTGTGCTCAAAGATGATAAATAGCAGAAGATAGAGCAGCTTCCCAATACAGTGGAACGTTCAAAAGGCATTGTGGGTACAAGGAGAGCAATTTTACTATAACCGCACGGCGGCGCTATATAAAAATAATAAAGGCGCTGCTCTTGTTCGCTTGTTTCCTTTAGTTTCTCCACTTAGTAAAATGTTCAAATTTTACTGCAACCGCAGGAGGGCGAATGTTCCATCGATTTTAATGCAAGTACGCGGAGAAGCTCATTCTTCTGCTATTAAAGTTCTTTGGTGTGCTCAGGGGCGGATTGCTATAAGCGGTCTTTAGACGGTCTTAACGGTTAGCCGGCTATAATTGTGACGTCAATACTGGTCTATGATTATAGACCATTGCTATACCGCAGTCTAACCAGTTAGCCGTCTTAAATTTAAATCCTACCCGGAGGAGGCTTAAAACGGTCTTAAATCATTTTCATCATGGCGTTCTGCTGATTAATTCAACAGTGAAATGGCAAGACCTTGGCCTAGATCGTCAAAGTCGGAGAATCGAACGACGAATATTCCGCACGCTTCTTAGCGTCTGTAAAATTAGGTCTACGTTTATTTACGTTCATTTTGATACATTTGCGTGCGTCGAGCACAGGTCGAGCACGCATGACGGCGCCCCCAATCTTACGTTACCAGGGAGTGCTTGTTTGCATTTCAATACTCAAAACGGTCTTAGGGAAGACTGTTATATAGCAATGGTCTAAGAGGAGTGACTTTAGTAAGATCGTCTAAGTGATAAAGCCGGCTTTATTCGAGGAGTTAAGACACCAGTAAAGACCGTTTTATAGCAATCCGCCCCTGATCTTATAAACTTGGTAACGAACTTATGGCGTAACGCGAACACCCTATCTCAGATCCATGGCAACGACTAGGACGCCATCTCCCAAAACTGATTACTTTTCAGTGCCAAATCGACGCTTCTATTTGTTACGCGTAAATCGCGGAGAACGCTATCTTGTTTTTTTTAATTTTTTTTTATTTATTTCAACATCATCCAACAGCGACCAGTGTCGCCCATAACAGGATTGATACATGAAAATTGATACATAATAAATTTAATTAAGTAATATTAACATTAAATTCAAATATAGGTCTAAAAATAATTAAAAATATAAGAAATTCACTTGTGTTTATAAGATCTTCGGTTGTGCTTCGCACACGCCGCTGACGGCGCCGTTCCGGGAACCCTGCGTCGAGGACTTCAGATAACGTCTGGGATTCGAAACCTACACCGGTCTGGAAAACTGTAACAACATACATCCCTGAAGTCTCCATCTCACAAAGTGAATATAATTCCATATTTCAGCTTAATTGAGGGAAAAATAATGACTTTACTGTCATTATACACTGGATAGCTGTTTTGAGCACATGGCTTACTCATGGAGTTGATTTGTGGTTTTATATATGGAACGCCAAAAAAGCAACATTAAATGTACGCACTTCCGCATCCGGTTTTATATGGAATGCCAAAACGGCAAGTTTCAAACAGTCGATTTTATGGCATAGTCGGTTAATAAACACAATCGATTTTTGTCAAGTACAGTCGGTTGTCTGTTTCTCAATGAGTTACAGTAACACTTTGCTTTAACTGTCCCTGATCAACGCAATGCTGTCTCATCTCATTTTAGTGCTAAATATTTTTGTTATAAAAAATTATATGAAACTGCTATCAAATTTACCGGCAAGCGCGCACCTGAACTCAAAGCCAAAAGTCCATGAAGCATACTTTGTAAATCATAAAACATGATCTGACCACTACAGCAAACTATCTTCTTTTAGTGATCATTTTTTGTTTTTTTATCGAAACTAATCGCGACGTTCACTAGATGGTAAGCGAGCAAAGCAAGCGCACACTCTCCAATAATTATAATCACCAAAATTTATCAATGAGAGCCTTTATCGTTGTTCCTTGGACCATGACAAACCATACTAGAAAGTTTGATTCAGATCCACTGATCAGTTTTTAAGATGTTAATGTCTGGGGTGTTTAATTTTAAGGGTCTCAACATGCACACCCTACTCTGGAACATCACCAAAATTCATACTTTTTTCTGAGCCATGACGAACCATTTCAGAAAGGTTCGTTTTTTTAGATATCTAAGTCTGGAAAGTTCCCTTTGAATGGCCCTCAATCCACTTCATACACCGGATCATCACCAAAATTTAATCATTTCATCATGACAAACCATTTCAAAAAGTTTCATTCAGGTCCTTTCATGAGATTTTAAGATATTTAGGTCTAGGAATTTACCCCCGATCTGGATGTTATCAAAATGTAATCATTTCTTTCTTGTAACTTTTTTTTCAGAGAGTTTCATTCAGATCAGTTGAACAGCTTTCAGGGACGTTTCTCTTTAAATGGTCCTCACATCCTACTCCGGATCGCCAATAAAATTTAACCATTTCTTCCTTGAAACATGATAAGCAATTCTAGAAATTTTTCAGATTCATTATTCAGTTTTTGAGATATTTTACTAATATAACACTAACTGGACTATAATGCTATATAATGCTATATATAATGCTATAATGCTAACTGGACGTTAGCGTTTTAAATGACCCCCACCCCCACTAGTAATAACTATATTTTGTTTCAAGTGTAGTATAATATCGAGTTTCATTCATGTTTGCGGATTGAAAGCTACTGGTGAGAAATAACTCTTATATTTTTATTTGATACTTTGAATAAAATTTGTCATTGACATCTCATCGTCTTTTCATTTAGTTTTGTATCTAAGGAACACACGTGCAACCCGTCATGCTCTCTCTCTCTCTATATATATATATATATATATAAAATAATAATAATAATAATAATAATAATAATTAGAACTAACTAGAGGTGCGCTTGCTTATGTAAACGTCACGATAATTATGATAAAAGAGAACAATCATTCATGACTACTACAAGAAGATAGCAAGTATGCCATCCTGTCTTTGTCAAGTCCTTTATAGGCCTATTAATTGTAATGACAAACGATATGTAGGCCTATTCTCATTGCCGATAACTCGTGATAGCAAGGTGATAAAACGCTTATTCAACACATTTTTTAGTTCCTATGCATGTAATGCAATAGGAACTATTGTAATCACTCTTGATATTTCCTATGTTTTTTATTGTGTGTAGTGTGTGCGTGTGTGTGTGTGTGTGCAGACATTTATGCAAATGCGCATGCGTCAAAGAAAAGTTTTCCGACATTTTGTTTTACATCGCGATGCGAAGATCGATGTGAAGTTTCTGCAGAGTTCAGTCAGGGCTCACGCTAACCGACCGGAAAGTCGGCATGAATGAAACTATTTTGGTTTTACGGCAAAAAAAAAAAAAAAAAACAACAACTGCTGTAGGCATAGGTTTTTTGAAGGCCTAAAATAAAACTAAAATGTTTTAATACTTGCTGAAATACATCGTTTTTTTCATTTAGATCTCCATTTTTCACTAAGTCCATGCGATGTTTTTTTCTGTTGTATACGTATGAGTATATGAAGGTACTATATCCCCGACAGTTGGCTGTGCAGCAATGTACCCTTTGAATGCAAACTGAAAACAGGTGAAAATATAAAGGCAGCCGACTATCGGGTACATAACGACTACCTAGCTTTCCACAAAAACATGAGGCCTTCAGCTAGGCCTAGTTCAGTATTACTGCGATGCGAGGGTAGTTAGATCGTTCAATCAATGATATCGTGTTATCGTATAATACAATTAAATAATGTGTGTAATATTTCAGAATGCACTACGTGGGTCGCTTTCTTTGTTATGCGGTAGCAGTATACGTAACAGAGTGACGACAGCAAGCTAAGCCTAGCCCAGGGCCTAGATCGTGTACGTTCTTGATAATCGTAATGAAAACTTCGGGTGACAGACGATCGGACCCAAGATATTTTCAAATAAATTGTAGTCCTTAGCAGACCACTGCCAGCACCCCCACTTCCGATATCGTTCCAAACTACTGTAAAATGAAAATACTGTATACCTAGCTAGGCCATATGCCTACGATATTTCTTCAAAGAAATTTGCTAAAAATGTTCCTGTAATTTGCCTGTCGAATTACATTACCAATGTGGTCTGAAATCACTATTTTGGGCCATAAAGACTCCCCCTGTATTTTTCAACCACCACACAAATTTGACCCAACCGTACATATAAGTATGTATGTTATAATGTATG